ACTGGGTATGTTATAATGAATAGAGTATTCGAATATGTTTTCACCTGTAGCAGCGGCAAAAATTCAGCAATGTCACGCTGGGTGCCCATGGTCGCCCGGCACATCTGCATGTGCAAGTAGGCGAGAACAGCAGCACCCCAGCTGTACTGGAGTAAATCATCTAGCCGCTCAAGATGATGAAGAAATCTCAAGCTGACTAGGTTCCTCGAAGTGTTCGGGAACAAGACCCCTCCAAACATAAGGAGCAGCAACAACCTTGTGTACCGGTGAATATGCAGCTCCGGTGTATCGCCTGTGATGTCAGGGTGCAATACCTCCAAATGGTCTCGGATAGTCGCCAACTGCAGACGACTGGCCCAAGCCAGTGCAGTCTCCTCCTGTGGCCGGAAACCAGTGAGCTGCTGCAGCATGTTGAGGTACTCCCCACCTGCCAGCTCTCTCATGCCTGCAGCAAAGCAACGGGGTGTCCATCAACGGGCATCCCATATATAACCTCCACGTCCTGCAGTGTGATGGTGGCCTCGCCAATGGGCAAGTGGAATGTGTGCATCTCCAGTCGCCACTGCTCTATCAGGGCCATGATCAAAGACCAATCGAGCTGCAACCGCCCGATCTCCAAAATCCTATAGAAGCCCGTATCCTGCAGGCGTCTAACTACACGGGGATGGAGAACTTTACCCTTCAGAAAGTCCCACATGTCGTTCACTCTCCTGACGCAGAGAGTCTAGGCCAGTAACTCTCTCTCCCATATGTGGGAGGACCTATGATCGCCCTGTAACGACAGTAGCTCATCGCTGGAAGGTCCGGGATGCATAGACGGAACCTCCATGTCATCTACTGTAAATTAAACAACATTAATTACATGTTTGTTTGTACATTAAATAATTAATTTTTATAATTATATAAGGTTTAATTATTAAGTATTCACATATGAGTTTCAGGCTCGATATTTGAGGCCCAGTAGTACCAAGATATCCTGAATTCTTGTATGTATTAGTTTTATTCTTTTACATGTTAGTTTTATTATTTTATATGTTTGTTTGTAAATTAAATACTTAATTTTTATAATTATACAATATTTAATTATTAAGTATTCACATATGGGTTCCAGGCTCGATATTTGAGGTCTAGTAGCACTAAGATATCCTGAACTCTTGTATGTGTTAGTTTTATTAATTTATATATAGTTTTATTATTTTACATGTTTTATTTTATACATTTGTTTATTACTCACTTATTTTTGACTATAATAAAATTAAATAATTAATTTTTATAATTATACAAGATTTTATTATTAAATATTCACAAATGGGTTTCGGGGTCGATATTTGAGGTCCAGTTGCACCAAGATATCCTGAATTCTTGTATGTGTTAGTATTATTAATTTATATATAGTTTTATTATTTTACATATTTTATTTTATACGTTTGTTTGTTACTCACTTATTTTTGACTATAATAAAATTAAATAATTAATTTTTATAATTATACAAGATTTAATTATTAAATATTCACAAATGGGTTCCGGGCTCGATATTTGAGGCCTAGTAGCACCAAGATATCCGAAAAATATTGCTATTTTCTCATGTTATTTTCTTATGATCGTTGACTAGAATTGGACAGAGTTTGTGTTTGATCTATCAGCTATTTTGACGTATTTTTGGGTATAAGAGATACTTAAATAATTAATTTCAATAACTACAGGGATACTACGCTAAAAGGTACTACATTTTACTATGCTAAAAGGGCGCTATATTACTAGTCTTTAAGCAAATAAATAATCTAAACCAGATAAAAATAAAAAATACATTTAATCACAAAACATTCACGAAAATACATATACAACAGTAAAAAGTAACTTATTAATATTTTTTTTAACAAATAATAATAATTTCTCAATTTTTACATATTTTTTTAGCACACTAATATCTTAGTCCGGATAAAAATAACATACCAGTTTAATCGCAAAAAAAAATACAAAACAACATAGAACACATTTAAAACAACTAACATGCATTTTTTATACGAGTTTCGACAAAAACTAAATCGGAATACCTCGATTTAT